TCCTGTAGTCGCGTATTCTCTTCTGTTTTTTGCAACTTGCTCATCAACTTGCCCTGCTTTCACACAACTTTTCCAGCTCAATTCCAACAATCAATTTCGGCTGTATCTGATCAAGAAAAGTTGGAAAGTTGGAAAGACAATTCATGAGAATTTCAAGAGTTAAAAATGACAACTAGAAACAACTCATTTGGCTCTTGAATCCTCTATAAATAGCAATCTTTGGAGACCATTTTCACATCTTTGGAAGGTTAGAGAAACTCCAATAAAAATGTAGTCATCATTACTTTTTCTTAGTTCATTAGTTAGGCTAGTATAGTATAGTTAGTGTAGTGTTTCTTTCTTGTATTTGTAGTAAGATTTGAATGAAGATTAGAGGACCAAAGATGGAGAGTTTGAAACTCATGTGACAAGGGTGACTTCTCTCCTATCACTTTCTCTTTTGTATTCGATTTCATATTTAACTATAATACAAGTTTGGCATGTGATTTCATGTTTTGCTAAAGTTTATACCTAGAGTTATGGTAGAACTTGCTATATTTTGTTAGCGATGTTTACTTGGTTATTTGATGATATTATTTTGAGCAAGTTATTTATCACTTTTGCTTTTCTAATTATGATTAACCGGCCATTAATTGTGATTATCTAAAGGTGTTAAGTTTGCAATGAGAATTGAAATTTAACACTAGTTCAAGGAAGTGATAAGCCTAGGGAGTTCACTCACAAGAGTAGAGGTGCACCTATGTGGTTTTAGTGACTTGTTCATGTAATTTCATAGAAGAAATGAATTTGTAGTTAATTTCATAACTACGAGAGTAGGTATGGCTTAATTACAAGTATAGTTGATTCACTATGAGAGTAGATTTCACATATATTAGGAAATTGCGCTATAACTAGCCAAGATAACAGCATTCACTTAACCGGTAATCTCATTTGCAAGAGTAGTAAGGAATTCCATATCTCTAGGAGTTTTCTAGTGTTATTTTCATTAATTTTATGTTTATGGTAGTCTAGATAATAAAGGAGTTCGAAAAACACCGGTAATTGTCACTCTTCCCTGTGGGATCGACCCTTAATACCCTATACTCGCTCACGATTCGTATACTTGCAAAAAATCACGTGTGGGATATTTAGGATTTATAAATGTAAAACTTGATTGTGGATGACCTACTTGATATATGTATACCCCGCGCACGTCAAATGTAATATTTTCTTGAGGCACTGTACAGGTCAAAGTTTGGTACCAAAAAAATTCTTATGTGATAACAACCCCATAATTTGTCTAACACCCATCATCATTGATATTTAAGATGGGAAAACATATGAGGTATATGGGTTTTATCAAAGTATCAAAATCTCAAACGGGGCCTTAAATGCTTTTTTCATGTTTGCCTTTTTCACAGCTAGCATTCTAGTGGCAAGTGAATTCAAATATGCTCCTTTATTTCCTCCATTGCAACATCCATATTCTTTGTATTATTAGCATTGGATAAATGTTTATGTTATGGTTCCAACAAGAAAGAAATAGATGCAAGCAAAGAATTAAAAGGAAGACAGAAAGAAAGAATAAAGAGAGAGATATGGAAGTATTATTGATGGAAGAAGAAGATAATTACAACAATTCACAACATTGCCTCTGTATTCTCTCGTGTTTTATACAAATTCTGATGGTCTTACAAATTGAACTACCAGTAACTAATTGTGCCAGCTGTCGTTGGAATATTCCTTCCTCAACTAACTTCCTGACTCATAACCACCTTGGCTCTAGCTCAGTCATTACAGTTGCCCTCCCTTCAAACAATCCTATTCTCTAGGATTGATAGGATTGAAGGACGGAAATTGACTTTGTATAATAGTCAAATCCTCCCAAGTTGCATCCTCTTTGTTTATGTTCTTCTAGCAAATTAGGACCTGCTCCAATTGTTGCCCATTCCTGTTAATCATCCTTCTATCTAACACTGTAGTGGGAGCAATAGTGAAGAATCCTTCATATGATATTTGTGATAATTCACTACTGATAGGAGTTCCTTTAGCAGATGGTTTCAAGAGTGAAACATGGAAAATAGGGTGAATAGCAGCACCTTGTGGGAGTTTAAGCTTATAAGCTACTGACCCAATCTTCTTTTCCACCTGATATGGCCCATAGTATTTTGCTGCCAACTTCAAATTTTTTCTTAAAGCTACTGTAGTCTGTCCATACAGTTGCAACTTAAGGTACACTCAATCACCTTCAGTAAAGGATCGGTCTGTTATGTGCTTATCAACAAACTGCTTCATTTTGTTATCAGCTTGCAACAAATTTTCTCTCAATAATCAGTAATGCATTCCAGTTCACCCTCTCCCTTAACCAATCTTCAGCAATAGGAACTTGAGTGTCATCAGGTTTCGAACTCAATTGAGGTGGTTTATAACCATATAGAGGTTGGAATGGTGTCATATGTAAGCTAGAGTGGAAGTTAGTGTTATACCACCACTCAGCCGTAGGTAAACACTTCTTCCAATGGCCTAGCTGCTGCAAACACATGGCCCTTAAGCAAGTGTCTAGGTACCTATTCACCCTCTTAGTTTGTCCATCAGATTGAGGGTGTAGGAAGAAGAGAAACTGAGATCAGTCCCCACTTTGTTAAAAAGCTCTTGCCAAAAAATGCTTGTGAATACTTTGTCCCTATTAGACACTATTCCCTTTGGCAAACCATGTGATCTGAATATTTGGTCAAAGAACACCTAAGCTACACTCTTAGCAGTGTATGAGAATTCATTGAGGTAAAATGGGCATATTTTGTGAGTCTATCTACCACCACAAACATGACATCATGACCAAATGATTTTGTTAATCCTTCAATGAAATCCATGGAAACTTCCTACCATGCTTGTTTATGGATGGATAGTGGTTGTAACAACCTTGGATAGTAACAATGCTCTCCTTTACTCCTTTTACAAATGTCACAAGACTACACATAAGTTTCCACATCTCTTTTCATACGCAGCAAGTAAAAATAACTCTTTATCCTCAGATAGGTTCTTATATTTCCAGAATGTCCTCCAATTGTAGAATAATGCATACAACAGATAAGTTGGGTTCTTAAATATGAATTAGCTCCAATAAACACTCTTCCTTTGTACCTGATAATTTCTCGATGATATAAGTAATCCTGCATACCAGATTTGTCCACAACTAGTGCAACTAGCAATTCCTTGGCCTTTTCATCCCCATTATAACTATCTGAGACATTGGCTAGCCACAATGGCTTTGTTGTTGTTATGGCAGGGATTTGAACTTTTCCATTGCTAGACTCCTCTTCCACCCCTTCATACCTTCTTAACAGAGCATCAGCAACCAATTTATCCTAGCCTCTTTTACATTGGATCTCATAGTCCAACCCCATGAGATTAGAAACCCATTTTTGTTGGAGAGGTATAGTAATCTTTTGATTCAATAAGTAGTTCAAACTTTCCTGAACAGTTTTGATTATGAAATGAGTCCCTAGCAAATAGTGTCTCCACTTGTCCACTGCTGTAATCAATAATAGTAACTCATTTTCATATATGGATAGTGCTTGATTCTTTGGTCCAAAGGCCTGACTCATGAAAGCAATTGGTCTGCCACGCTACATCAAAACTGCTCCAATGGCTTTTTGGCTAGCATCAGTTTCCAACAAAAATGTTCCAGAGAAATCATGTAATGCCAAAACATGTGCTTGAGTCATAACCAACTTGAGTTGCTGAAAAGCAGCCTCAACTTGTTCATTCCATTCAAAACAATCTTTCTTCAACAAGATAGTTAAGGGTCTAACTATCCTCCCATACCTTTTAACAAACCTCCAGTAATATCCTGTCAGCCCAAAAATCCCCTTAAACCTTTAACATTGGTAGGGATAGACTAGGACAACATTGCTTCCACTTTTGTAAGATCACCAGAAACACCTTCACCTGTAACTATATGCCCTAAGTACTCTACTCTTTCTTCACCAAATGAACATTTAGGCATTTTTGCATATAAGGAGTGGTTTTTGAGTGTGTCAAGAACAAGGGATAGGTGTTTGAGGTGGGAGTCAAAATCTAGGTTGTAGACTAAAATGTCATCAAAGAACACTAGTACAAATTTTTTGATAAAAGGTTCAAAGACTGAATTCATCAAAATTTGGAAAGTTGCTGGTGCATTAGTGAGACCAAATGGCATCACTAAGAATTCATAGAGACCGGAGTAGGTTCTAAAAGCAATCTTTTGGATATGAGAGTGGTTCATTCTTATTTGATGAAACCTTGACCTCAAATCAATTTTTGAAAATACTTTTGCACCATGTAGTTCATCAAGTACGTCATCAATGATTGGGATGGGAAATTTGTCTCTGATGGTGGGGCTGCTAAGTTGTCTATAGTCAATACATAGCCTCCAACTTCCATCTTTCTTTTTAACTAAAAGAGTTGGAGATGCAAAAAGGCTATGACTGGTTTGAATAATTCCAGTGGTTAACATTTCTTTAACTTGTCTCTCTATTTCTGTTTTTTGCATGTGAGGAAATCTATATGGGCCGATCTTGAAGGGTTTAGCATCAGGTTTCAATGGTATTTGATGATTTAGGCTACGGTTGGGTAGTAGGGATGTAGGTGTACAAATACGTTCTCATATTGAGCAAGTAATTGAGTGAGTGCTTTTGGAACATTAGTTACCTGTGAGTTTTGTACTCTGACCATGCAAGAATGTTGTAATGCTATTTGTATTTTGTTTCTACAATACTACTGAGCTAATATCCTCTACTTCATCAACACCTTAGCAGAGTTGGAATCCCCTTGCAATAGCACCATTTTTTTTTTTTTTTTAAATAAGCGGTGGACTTTTCAAATATAGTTGACTTTTTTTTTTTTTTATCAAAGGAAAACAGACCAAAACCCAGCATGCGAAAAACAAAATAAGGAGTACTTCCTCCCTTACACTGCCTCCAAACCCATCGCTCTAAAGCGCAAATGCCCGAGAACCTACCCGAAAACCTAAAGACTGCAGCCTAGCCATCCTCCGCTAACCACCTAACCCCTGGGACTCCCCGTGAATCCAGTAAAATGGCAGACCGAACAACCGCCGGCAACTGGTGTCCCTGCTCATAAACCTGAGAGCCAATTAACCCAACCGCTGCAAGCCTATCTGCGGGTACGTTGGCCTCCCGATATACATGTGAAATGGCAGCCGAAAAAACCTCCAGAAGACCTCTCACATTCCTTAAACTGTTACAAAGAGGCCACTTCGCAATCGCCCCAGAGACAACCAACTGCACCAAGGCCTTGGAATCTACCTCCACCAATGAAGGATACACACCCCGTTGTAGACACAACTGCAACCCAAAGAGTAACGCCATACACTCTGCCTCTAACACCCCCTGATCCCCGAACTCCTTGTAGAAGGCAAAAACCAACTTCCCCTGATAGTCACGCAGCAACCCACCCCCCGTGGCCCTCCCTTGAAGCACACTGGCGTCCGAATTAAACTTAAACTCCCCAAAAGGCGGCCTGACCCAGGCAATCGCACATGGGGACCGCCGCCTCGGAGACCGTCTGACCCACCGAAGCAACTCACAATCGGCATCACCTGAGAACTGGGACCGACAAAGCTTATTTGCCCTCCCCAACTGCTCCATAAAGCTATCCACCTCGCGAATAATCCTGTTGACCTCCCAACGCCCTCCTTGAAAACGCTCTTGGTTCCTTGCCAGCCAGAGAAACCAGCACACCACAATTGGAATGAGCACCCTAATATGGGTTTTCGACATAGCCTCAGACGTCAGAAACCATGCGATAAACACCGCGGCCATGCTTGTGCAGTTGCACAACTGAAACCCAAACCGGCTAGACATTCTCTTCCATACCTCCGATGCAATCGGCCCTGAAACAAACACATGCAAGAGAGCTTCCTCCTCCCCAAAGCAACACCCACACCTGGAAGGAATCGCCAATCCCCGTGACCTCAACACCACATCCAAAGGGATAAAACTCCGCACCAAACGCCACGCTAAGAATGACATCTTGGCCGGCAAAGCTGGCTGCCAAAGGAGTGAGTCGACCAAGGAAGGACACCTGCGTTGCCGTAGCACCTCCCAAGCCGATTTCACCGTAAACAACCCCGATGTAGAAGGCAACCAAACCAATCTATCCTTCTGAGAAACATCAAATGGAACGTCCTTGATTACAGTGATAACCGAATCCGGAAGCCATTGGCCAAGACAAACCTCATCCCAGCCCTCATTCGTCAAAAACTCCGAAACCAGAAAATGCGGCTGCTCTGCTCCATCCACCACATCTTCCAAAGGCTCATTCAAAGCCCATCTATCCTTCCAAAAATCCACCAGACCTTCCCCTACACACCACCTAATGTTCGGCTCCACCAAACTCCTAATCGCCTCAAGACGTCTCCAAGTATGGGAAGGCCGGACAGACGAGGCCGCCAAAGGATGACATCCATTACTGTATTTTGCATGCATGAATTCCGCCCAAATGGAGTCTCCACTTCGAAAACGCCACCATAGCTTAGCTGCAAAAGCCCGAGCCATGTCCTTAAACGACCTAAAACCCAGACCCCCTTCATCAGTAGGGAAACACAGCTTTTCCCATGCGGCCCAATGGAGACGCTTCTCCCCTCTACAATCCCACAAAAAGGAGTTACAAATGATGCCCAAACGTGTGATCACCGCCTTAGGAGGGCTCAACACCTGAAGCAAATACATCGGCAGCGAAGAAAGAACATGCCGAGCTAAAACCCGCTTACCCCCAAAAGATAGCATCTTAGTACTCCAGTGCCCAAGAAGGTCCCTCATTTTAGCCACAAGACCATCAAACAGCGAACTTAGCCGGCGCCCTTTATAAATAGGGGCACCCAAATACGTAAAAGGGAAACAAGCCCTATGAAAGCCCAGGACCCTCGCTACCATCTGCTCCTGCCCCATAGTGGCTCCCACCGCCAAGAAAAAGGCACTCTTATTGACATTCACCCGTTGGCCTGATACCTGTTGGTACCCCTCTAGAAAAACCTTGACTGCACTCAGACATTTTTCGGAACATCGGGTAAAAACAAGCATGTCATCCGCGAAAGCCAGATAAGGAACCTGAGTCCCGGCCGAGACAAAGAACCTTCCCGGCCGACAGTCCAACAAATGGTGCAGGCCACGACCCAAAAATTCGGTCACTAACACGAACAGCCCAGGCGACACCGGGTCCCCCTGCCGAACACCCCGGGACGACTTGAAAAAACCAGCAGGCTCACCATTAACCAAGACCGAAAACCAATTATTGGACACCAACCTATAGAAAATATCTACCACCCGTTCCTGAAAGCCAAATTGCCTCAGCATAAACAACAGAAATGGCCACTCGACCCTGTCATAAGCCTTCTCCATATCCAATTTTAGCATGATGTTCGGATGACGCAATCGCCTATCTAAATCCATCACCAACTCCTGGGTGAGTAGAATGTTATCCGTTATCCCCCGTCCCGAAACAAAGCCCGTTTGCCACGGTGAAACTAATGTCGGGAGTACTCTCCCCAACCGACGAGCAACCAATTTTGAAATAATTTTGGAGCAAGTGTTGCAAAGACTAATTGGCCGGAAATCCTTCCAGCACATGGCACCTGCGATCTTAGGCAAGAGAACAATAGATGTGCTAGTAAAACTCCTAGGTAACCCCATACCTTGGAAAAATGCCTTCAGCGCCTCTAGCAAATCCATCTTAATACACTCCCAGCAATCCTGGTAAAAACCTGCTCCAAATCCATCAGGCCCCGGTGCACTATCAGCCTCCAAACCAAAAACCACCTCTCGCAATTCTGCCAGCTCAGGGAGCGCAGAAAGCATCCCATTATCCTCTTCCGAAAGCTGTGGTAGCGTGAAGGGAATCGTTGGAGGTTGCCCCCCATTCTGCTCAGAAGTAAACAAGGAGGACACGAACTCCACTGCTGACCTCCGAATGTCTTGTTCATCCTCCAACCATGCTCCTGTCGCATCCTTAATGCGAGCCACAAAATTGCAATTCCGTCGCTGCCTATAACGCGAGTGGAAATATGCCGTATTAGCATCCCCCACCTGTAACCATTTGATACCCGCCTTCTGTCTCCAATACTCACATTCCACAGCCAAGGCCCGTGCATAAACCGCCTTGGCCTCCTCCAGTGAAGCCCTGGACGCAGGATCTTGGCCTGTGTCAAAATCCTCTTCTCGCTGTTTCATCATGGCCTCAGCTTGCTTTACATTGTTGAAGATATTTCCAAAAACCTGGGCATTCCAGACCTGTAGACCACCCTTCACCTCTCTCAATTTATTATAGAACTTCGGCATCCCCTCTCCCTCCACCGACTTCTCCCAACATCGCTTGACCACCTCCTTAAACCCAGGCTGGCCCCGCCAAACATTCAGGAACTTAAATGAGCGTTTGGGAGGACTTCCATTCCGACAGCATATCAGCAAAGGAGCGTGATCCGAACGGCCCCTGGCCAAATGTGAGACATGCGATAGATCATACCCGTCAGCCCACTCCCGATTCATCAATGCCCTATCCAATCGTTGCCACACCCTCCCATTCGTCCATGTAAAAGCAGCACCATCGAAAGGCACCTCCGCTAACCCACAAATTCCAATCGACTCATTAAATTCCTCCATATTTCTTTGATTCACCGGGGACCCCCCCACTCGCTCTTCCAAACTGGAAATAACATTAAAATCCCCTGCCAATAACCATGGGCCACATACATCACCCGACAAACCTTCCATTGCTGCCCACAACTCGCGGCGCCCCACCCTGGAACATCGGGCATAAATTGCCGAAAAATGAACCGAACAGCCCGAAGAGAAAACAATGTGCATATGAAGAAGTTGTTCGGCCAGTTCCCTGAAGCTCACTGCTATCTCATTAAACCAGAAAACCCAGACCTTGTTATTTAGTGCACCCCAAACCTTATCAAATCCCAGTGATCGACGTACCACCTCCATCTGTGGCGGATCCGACAATGGTTCCAGCAGGACTAATAGCCGAACCTTATGAGATTTACACATGTTATGTAAATATCTAAGTGAATCCCTACGTGAAGCCCCTCGAATATTCCACACAACAAACTTAATGGGATTTAACATTAGACCGCAATGAGTAATGAGTTTGTGTTTGATGAGGAACCTGTTTCAAACTAGCTTTAGCCGGCCTACCTCCCTTCTGCCGAGTTCCACTAGGGCCAAACTGCAAAGCGTGTTGCTGCTCCAAACCTTCCACCTGCTCCACCCCACTCCCCAGCCCCCCACTCAGAGCGTCAGGTTTAGCATCAACTTCATCAGGTTCTAACCATCTTTATTAGGTTTTAAAAATCAAATGTCATGGGGCTGTAACACTTTATCCAATCGAACCCTAAGATTAAGTCATAAGACTCCAAATCCAACACATACAGCCTTGCATCACCTATTTCATGCCAGGAATCCACTATTTACAAACTAATTCTTTCCCATCTGCAATCTTCACTTTAAAAGGCCTATGATCCTTAACAGCTTCAGGGTATAGCTGAGCAATGGCTGGTCTAATGAAACAATTGGTACTACCCTTTTCCAGCAAAATAGACATCTCATGATCACCATAATATCCCAACATTTCAATGGTATTGGAAGATAGTTGTCCTGAAATTGAGTGTAGGGACAATGTAACATTCCTGTCATACTCATTACCCTGATACTCAATGATTTCATTCTCTTCTCTGCTATCTCAACCCCCAGTGTCTCAATTTCATCTGTCAACAACAAATGGATCTCCCTATTCTTACAAATATGCCTAGGAGAAAATTTCTCCCCACATTTATAACATAAATTGTGGTCCTTCCTATATTGAAATTCAGTGGGCGTAATTTTCTTGAGAGCTTGGGAAGCAGTTTTATTAGTACTACTGTCAAACACGTCATGCACAGGTTTCCTCACACCTATATCTGCAACTGGAATCAACTTCATGGGCATTTTGTACTGTCTGGACATGACCTGCAAATGGTGTTCTTGCCATCTTGCTTTCTCAAATGCCAATTGCAGGGCAGTGGGCTCATGGATCTTGACTACAGATTTAATTTCTTTCTTCAATCCACTTAAGAAACAGGAGATGTAATACGATTCAGATAGACTAGGAACTCTAAGCATAACAGCAGCCCTCAACTCCTCAAACTTCTCTTGGTAAGCCAACACCTTGAAAGTTTGATGAAGTTTGTTGAATTCTTCTATTACATCATCCTCACCCAAGTTTCCAAACCTGGTATAGAGTTCTTGACTGAATTCCTCCTATTGTAACTCACCCTTATCCACCTTGAACCCTTGATACCAGAGACTAGCTTTTCCATCCAAATGCAACTCTACTAAATCCATTTGCTGGGAGTCCAGAATGCGGAACAAATGGAAAAATTTCTCACATTTCCTAATCCATCCCTTGGGGTTTGAACCATCAAAATTGGGAAATTCCATCTTAGGAATTCCAACCAGAAGATGATTCCTTTCCCCTTGAATTGATTGCTCCCATTCGAAATTCCTCTGAAGCCTTTGGACAGGAGCTCTTTCTGTGTTGTCAGGAGAATTGGCCAAGATTCCTCTATCACCTTGCATGCTTCTCACAAAAGCATTGTACTAAGCATTCATGGAAACCTTGAAAGTTTTCATTTCAGTAGGGCCTTCAAGTCAGAGTAATTTGTTTCTAATTTCTCTTCCAATGCCTGTCTTTCTGCTGCATTAGACTCGAGAATATTCAAGAATTTCTTAATGAACCTGTTTCTTCAATTGCTCTTCAAAGCTCTTCATTCATGTGCCTTCATCCATTGTTATCTAAGGATTGGATAACCAAGCTTGCAAATCTGAGGACCGCAACCTCTGATACCAATTGTTATGGTTCCAAAAGGAAAGAAATAAATGCAAGCAAAGAATTAGAGAAGAATTACAAGGAAGATAGAAAGAATGAATGAATAGAGAGATATGGAAGTATTATTGATGGAGGAAAAAGATGATTACAACAATTCACAAAATTGTCTCTGCATTCTTCACTCTCGTGTTTTATACAGATTCTGACGGTCTAATGATAAGTATATATTTTATGTATTTTTAGTGTGTTTCATTAGTTAGTTTTGGTGTGTTTTAGTTACTTTTATAGCTAATTAACTAGGATTCAAGTGAAAATATGCATTTTATGGTTTAAGTGGTAAAAATTGCATTTCTATGGATTTTAATGGTGAAAACTTCATATTTTTGTAGGTTTAATGATTCAATCATTAAATGGAGTGACTTGAGAAGAGAATTGGATGATTATTGATGATTTTAAATGGTTTAAAGAAGATATGAGTGCAAAACATTCAAAGAAAGAAATGCAAGTAAAGACAGTTTCGACACCTTGTGATTTTTGGCTATATCTTGAGCTATAATGATCGGATTGAGGTGATTCTTGAACCATTTTGAAGCTAAGAGAATCGAAGTCTAGTTTAGTCATTTTCATAGTCAAAAAGTCGAATACAGAAGTACAATTCTGTTGTCGAGAGCTGAAACAGAGCTCTGACTAGTTCAAAGTATTTTGGTTATATCTTGGTCCACAGAGCTCCAAATGGGATGATTCTTGAGGCATTGGAAAGCTAACTCAAAGGGTTACAATTTTTATGATTTTCAAAAGAGCTAGTTCGGTCTCCATGATTGAGAACATATCAGTTGAAATGATGCTCAAGTGAAAACGCGACTATCCAATACGCAAGATGAAGTCGCGTATTTCTGAGGTCGCGTATTCTCCTCTGTTTTCTGCAACTTGCTCATCAACTTGTCCTACTTTCACATACCTTTTCTAGCTCAATTCTAGCTATCAATTCCGACTGTATCTGATCAAGAAAAGTGTGGAAAGTTGGAAAGACAACTCATGGGAGTTTCAAGAGTAAAAAATGACAACTAGAAACAACTCATTTGGCTCTTGAATCCTCTATAAATAGCAGCCTTTGGAGACCATTTTCACAACTTTGGAAGGCTAGGAAACTCACCAAAAATGTAGCTTTCACTAAAATTTCCTTATTTCATTAGTTAGGATAGTATAGACTAGTTAATGTAGTTTTTCCTTCTTATATTTGAAGTTAGATTTGGATGAAGATTTGAAGAGGAAAGATGGAGAGTTTGAAATTCATGTGACAAGGGTGACTTCTTGTCTATCACTTTTTCTTTTGTATTTGATTTCATGTTTAACTACAATACAAGTTTGGATCTTATTTTCATGTTTAATTAAGTTTATACCTAGAGTATGGATGAACTTTCTATAACTTGTTAGTGATGTTTACTTGGTTAATTGATGGTATTATTTTGAACAAGTTATTTATCACTTTTGCTTTACTAATCATGATTAACCGGCCATTAATTGTGATAATCTTAAGGTGTTAAGTTTGCAATGAGAATTGGAATTTAACACTAGTTCAAGGAAGTGATAAAACTTAGGGAGTACATTCACGAGAATAGAGGCGCACCTATGTGGTTTTAGTGATTTGTTTCATGTAATTTCATAGAAGAAATGAACTTGTAATTAACTTCATAACCACTAGAGTATGTATGGTTTAATTACAAGTATAGTTGATTCACTACGAAAGTACGTTTCACATATATTAGGAAATTACGCCATAACTAGCCAAGATAATAACATACAAGTAACCGGTAATGTCATTTGCAAGAGTAGTAAGGAATTCCATACCTCTAGGAGCTTTCTAGTGTTAATTTTATTACTTTTACTTCATGTTTATTGTCTAAATAATAAAGGAGTTCGAAAATCACCGGTAATTGTCACTCTTCCCTGTGGGATCGACACCTAATACCCCTATACTCAATAAACGATTTGTATACTTGCAAAAAATTACGTGTGGGGTATTTAGGATTTATGAATGTAAAACCTGATTATGGATGAACTAATTGTATATGTATACCTCGAGCACGTCATCTAACAAATTGAAGTAATTACCAGTAACTTATTATGCTAGCTGTCATTGGAATATTCCTTCCTCAACTGACTTCTTGACTCATAACCGCCTTGGCTCTAGCTCAGTCATTACAGCTTAAGAGTTAAGAGCTTGTTTGAGAGTTGGGGGAACTAAGAGGGAAATCGACAAAATTGAGGATTGGAGCTTGTTGGAGATTTTTTTTTTTAATTCAGCTTCTTTTCATTTTAGCACTGCACATGCCGTGCAGGTGATCAATTCTATTTGTGTTCTCCGGGTTTTTGCTAGAAATCTTGTGAGAACCCGTAATTTTCATTTTCTAGGTTTTAGAATTTTCATGGCTTGTTTTCTGCATTTTCGTGCTTAGAAAATTTTCTAGGTCATTTTAAGGAGCAGATATAATTTTTAGATGCTTTTTCTAGTATCGAATAGGTTTAGAGAAAGTATGAGGGTATACCAGACGTGGGACCCACTAGTGCGAAAAGTTCGGAAAAATTCGGCCAACTAGGTTAAGTTTTGAATACTGAAATTAATTTATCGGGTGTTAAGAGATAAGTAGAGGTTGCAATTTGGATTGATATGAGAGAGAAAAGTTAGGTAGATATTTAATAAAAGGTGACAAGTGTCACCATGTGATTGGGCTTACCTTAAGACTTTCTTACCATTGACTTAAATAACCAAAAATGACCCAAAAATCTTCCAAAAATCTTCAAGAAGAGCCGGCCCTCTCTTGCTCTCTTTCTCTCTCTCTTACTCCAAGCACAAGGAAGAAAACACTTCAATCTTGTTCCAAATCATCAAAACCAACCATCCAACCTTGATCTTGCTCCATAAAATCACTTAAGGAAGTGTTGGTGAGTTGTTGTGTGAAGTTTTTTGGAAAGTTAAGGTGACCAATAGCTCTCTCTCTCTTGTTTTAAAGGTAAGTTGTGAAGAACCACCCCCCCTCCTTTAATTGATGCTTAAATCATGCTTAGTGGTAGTAAGAGATGCAATATTATGGATTAATTCTTGATTTGTGGTTGAAATGATGAAATTTTATTATTTTTGGGGATTTTTCTGTTTTAATATAAGCATGATTGTGTGGCTATCTATGATGATTGGAAATGGTCTATAATGACTTAATGAGGTGGGAAAAGTGATTAATTGCAACCAATTTCTGTTTTGGAAGAAAATTGAAAAAACTAGGGTTCTTAAGGGAGCATTCTGTCCGAAATTTTAGGTCCTAGATAGAGGCCGAATTGGCCTTAGCTCAAAACATGAAAGTTGTAGGGAATGACATTTTAGAGGTGCCTACAAAATTTCAGGTCAATCAGAATTGTGTAGAATGAGATAAGTCGAAATTACTATTGTTGTTCTGGTTTTACCCGAAATTGAGAACTGCGCCTGTAATTGGTTGTTTTGGCTGGAATTGCTTCCGAATTGGTTGTTGAGGCCTTCTGATGAAATTTATCCCTGTTTCTTAGATTTCAGCTGGTTTTGGAATTTCTGGATTTGGACTTAGAGAGCCTGAGTTATGATGTTTCCGCAAGAATGCGTTTTGGTGAATCTGTTTTACGTTGTTGATGAAGTATCTTGCATTTTTTACCTGTTTGCACTCAAAACTGGGTTGAGTGACCTTCTGTGATGTTGTAGCCCTGTCTTTTAGCTTCGAGATGGTGGGTCTTGTACCCTCATCCGATAAACGTAGTGAAATTTGTGCCATTACCGCAAAATGAGGACAAAAACTATTTTTTTCCGGGCCAAAGCTAGTTATATTTCCGAAATTTCTGGTTTCCTTTAATGTTTGTATATGTTTATGGAACCCTATTGGGGTCATGTTTGGCCTTGGTTTATGACTCGTTATCGAGTCTCATTGTATTTGTTTGCGTGTTTTAGGACGTGACGGTGGTGCACAACGTTCTTTTGACTAAAGTGCATGAAACCACATTTGCTAGCGTGGTGAGTCTACTACTCACTTATGTGTTATTATATGACTTTGATACTTGAACTTGAGATGTTGAATGTTAATTGATTGAAGTGAGAGTGTACTTTATCACTTTCACTTGTTGTTTCGCATGTTATTGGAAAGTTATTGGAATGTTATATGAAATGTTATATGAAATGAAATACATGACTTGGTGTCGTTTGGACGAGTCTCCAACGACTACAATTATTATCCTTGAGCTCAACCCCATTGGTAATTGATTGAATCGAGCCGGCGAGGGCTTGGTCGTGCCAATTAATGTGCCTTGGGGCAATATTTTATGGAATCTTGTAGTATGAGAGACTCTTGATTCCGGTTTACTCGAGTAATACCACAATGCATGTGTTTGGATTGCGGGCCCGATTGGGGAATGTTAGGTGGAATGGAATGGAGGTAAAGTGGAGTCTACGGTTGGTTATTGTTGAAAATTGACGGAGAGTCAATGGCGTTTGATCAAGAAATGCAAACGAGGAAAAAGGGCTCTTGAAAGCCACCCGTATCCTTTTATCCTCATTATTGATGTGTGGCTTTACTTATTTTGGTAAATTGGACTGTTAAGCTTTATGCATCTATGAACTTGGTTGCTTGAGTTGTGTTCTCACTGGGCAATTAGCTCACCCCGTTCCTTTTGTTTTCCTTATAGGAATATGACTTTTTTTGGAATATATCTTGATAGATGGTTGCCGAATGAACTA